TTTTTAAGAGTATAATTAAAAGTATATTAGTGTAAAATTGTATTCGAGAGCCTTGTCATATTAATATAAACTTTTTACTAAAGTGATGTCTTGTTTTATATTGCTGAGAATCAAGAAGTAGGTACAATGTCTAAACCGAAGTATACGGACGAAGTTGACGTCTAAAAGATAGTAACCAGAATAAAATTATCGTTACAGTTTGTAATGTCTTGAAAGCAGATAGTTAACATAAACTTTATGTTTGTTAACAAACTTCCTTAGCAAGTGTAGGTACGGAAGTATTTTCAAAAGTTTAAAGAAGCTGTATGGAATCATAATCCGAATATTTTTTAAAGCTACCGTCCGGCAATTGTAAAGTATATTCTAGATCTAGTTCGTAGATGCGTTTATTATGAACTTAGGTAAAAGTTAATTTAATGTTTAATTAAAAATCTATATAAATATATAAAAATTGTTATGTATATATATAGAAAAACGTGTTAATATGTTTAGATGTTACCCGTCATACGTGAAGTTATACCCAGGAAGAATAAAGATTACTAAATTAAGATTACTAAGAATTACTAAGAATCGACACCAATTGCGATAAAATTATTACTGGATCTGTTAGTATTTTTAAAGTCAGTAGTAGAGCAAGTTGATTAAAAAAAGAATAATTAAAATTGGGTTATATTTGACAAAGATATTGATTATTATATACATCCAAAATTACATAGTGTAGCTCGTTTTTAATTTATCATAATAATGGTTATAAAAGTTCGTAATAGCTATAAAAACATTTATAGTCATTACGAACATTTATTTATGATCAGATATTTGACAATATACTAATTGCCAATTGTTATCTACGGTTTTGTACTGATATTTATAATAAAGAGGAAAGATTTGATTGTTTGTTTGTAATCGATAAATTTAAAAATCAATAAATTATTTTAATTTTTTTCAACAGTATTAAGATATAATATTAGTATTTTTAATTATATTTTCCAAGCGGAACTTGGCCTATATTTTATTTTTAAAAAATCTATCTACACCTGCGAAGCCGGGCTGGATCGCTAGTATAATATAAATATGTTTTTTATAACTGCTCAATCCATCAACAGAGTTAGAATCGGAGTTACGCAACTGTTATGTTTGTAAGTAGAAGTTATGTCTTACAAGAATTAAGACTGCTACGGTGTTTTAACCGACTTAAAAGAAAAGAGGAGAGGAAGTATATTTGTAAAATAAGTAAATAATATTTCTATAATAATTAAATACTGATAATTGTTACTTGAATAATTTTATTGAAATAAGATTTTCAATTTCAAATTTGAAGTTGTACGAGTATGTTCTAGTCCCGTCTTAAATTTTTTTCTATCATACAATAATTACTGAAATATGATTTCTATATTTGAATAACGTTTTGCCCATCCCCGGGTATAAATGTTGGCTACCTTGGTATATTGTAGATAACGAGCCGGTTGGTAACTCGAAACGTATATGAATATTTAAGGTTTCCAAAACTTATTTCTATATCGGGGAAAACTTACAAATGATATATTATGATATATAAGTTTTAAAACACTTATTATCACACAAATCTATGGGCACTGTCAAAGATTTTGTTTGAAAATGAGTTTATGTATATTATATTTACATGTCGTATATAATTTTGTATAATAATTCTTTGATGGCCCACTACTGAACATGGGCTCGAGCATGAGTCTTCTATTCCCAGGCTAATCTCAGACTCCGAGGTTTTCCCAAAAGACTACAGCATGGGGTTCTTCAAAAGGGGGGTAAAGAGGTTTCTTCAAGGTCGACGACGCGCGCGTAATACCTCTGGTATTGCAGGCGTTCATAGGCTACGGTGGCTACGGTAACCGCTTACCATCAGGTGGGCCGTATGCTTGTTTGCCACCTCAGTGGTACAAAAAAAAAGACAGTTTGGTACTTAAATGGTTCTATCTTAAAATTTCCTTTTTTACACTGGTGTTGATTTTTATTTGAACACTGTGACTAAGAAACTAAGCACAATGGCTTAGTCTAAGTTAGTTTTATTCAAAGTATTCAAGCAAAAATTCATAAATGTCTTTATGATTAATCAGTTAACTATTGGATTTTATTTCACCTTGTTTTTTATATATATCAATGATTTATGCAAAATGTCCCTTCCAAATTGTAACATAATAACATATGCCGATGACACAGCTTTGATAATTCATGGGCATGATTGGGCGGAGGCCCGATCTCATGCTGAATCTGCTTTGTTTATTATTTCAAACTGGTTGGCACAAAACCTTCTAACGCTAAAGTTAAATAAAACCAAATTAGTAACATTTTCTCCCAATAAGATCTCCCAACCAGACACATCTTTTAAAATACTAGCACACAAATGTAATACCATAGGTAATTCTGATTGTGATTGCCTCTCTATATCACGAACAGACAATTTCAAATACCTTGGTGTAATTGTAGATAGTATGCTGTCTTGGAATAGACATATTGAATCTGTAATCACACGTGTTAGAAAGCTAATTTACGTTTTTAAAAAATTGAGAAATGGTGCTGATTTCAAAATTTTGAAAACTGCCTATTTTGCACTTGCACAATCCATTATTGGTTATTGTATAACTGCATGGGGAGCTTTTAATAAAACGCAAATGCTAAGATTGGAAAGAGCTCAGCGAGCAGTATTAAAAGTTATGGCTTTTAAAACCATCAGGTATCCAACAAAAGATCTGTTCGCACTATGGAAAGTAAATAGTGTAAGAAAGTTATTTGTACTGATGTCCATACTGCGTAAACATAAGTCCCTTCCATATGATCCCTTATTACTTATAGACAAAAGAATTACTTATAAAGTTTGTAAAATTGATAAATGTCGTCTAGATGTAGTGAACCGTCATTATAAGTACATGAGTAACAAGTTATATAATAAAATAAATATGTTATTAACAATCTATCCACTTTCTTTACGTGATTGCAAAATAAAATTGATTAATTGGCTAATGACTCTTGAATATGATGATGTCGAGTCATTGATCAAGGTTTAATTATTAAAATTAAACATGCACATACACACACACACACACACACACACACACACACATGCTCGCACACACACACACACACACACACACACACACACACACACACACACACACACACACACACACACACACACACACACACTCGTACAAAATCCATTGATTAGTTTTATTTTTAGTAATTTTATTAATTTTCTCCTGTGTTATTGTTATTTAAATTTTGTACCGCATGTTATGGAGCGGGCGTTAATAGCTGCGACACAGTCTCTTTGTGACTAATGCAGTTATTATCGAACCTACAAAAAACTGTAAATTAAGCTAAGGATCCCAAATAAACATTTTTATTATTTATTATTTTATTTACCTATACTATAAAATACTCCAAGTAACATTAAACTAAGTTTCAACTACATAATCAGTTATATCTACCGTAAGATGTGTTTTGTATACCTATTTAGTTGTAGAAGTTTCAGATAGAACAAGTCTTTACGTAAACAAAACCGATGTGGACACATTTCGTATTGTTTGTTTATTTGTTCTGTATCTACGTAGGGTTTAGAAGTAGAAATAAACACATCGTGTTCTACTCGTATTATAATTACCCATAATTTAAAGGCACAACATATTGTAGCCTATTTTAACACTTAGAGTTATTCGTGCTCTAAGTGTTAAAAATAGGCTATTAAATTTTAATAATTTAATTTCCTTATGTCATTTAAAATAATTTACATGGAATGGAAAGTGGTAACCGTCGCCTATAGACATGAGGAGTATCATAGACATAACAGAACATACTGTTTCGCCCATGATACCCCCTATGTGTTGTCATTCCTGAGGACTCAGGTGTTATTCCTCTGTACCCAGTGATTTCACGCCATATCCCACCCTTCAAACCGAAACACAGCTATGCAAACACAACTGCTTCACGGTTGAAACACGAATGGGACAGAGGTACCCAAGCGATCGACTTTTGTACAAAGTCTCCCTCTGGTGTGTGTATATATATATATATATATATATATATATATATATATATATATATATATATATATATATATATATATATATATATATATATATATATATATAAATCATCTTTTGTAGAATAAAAATACAATATTTTTATAAATTTTGTATCGTAGCTAAAATTAATAAACACAAATAGTCTAGAACCGAATTTTGCAGTCCACACTTAATTACTTTAGTGTAATGAACCCTCATTTACACTTAGCTAATTAATCGCAAATTAATAGAGGTCGTAGTACGTGCTAAATTAGAAACGGCAGGTTGAAAGTAGGTAATAAATGTATAAAAATTCTTAGGTAAATATATCCTGAGTACATTATACTATTCTTAAGCGAAAATATATATTTTAAGCTACATTATTACTGTAATATCTGATGAAACTATTGTCAAATGCCTTCTAATTTTACAATAAAACTTAATACATATATGTATTTAATTACTCTATGATAAATTCCAGTATAGCTGTCATTCAATAGTATCAGAAATATTTTTTTACCTATGTATTTTTATATGATATCTGTCCAAGTTTTTTTTAGAACTATTGTCACACACGGTTATAATACACCTAAATATTCTAAGTTTCAAAATAAACTTTGTACAATAGTCATATGCTCCAATTTCTGTTTTTCCACTTCTATTCTGCTATTATGCAACTGCACCTGCATGTCTAAGTTTCAGTAAGAAAATAGTGTATGTTAACGATATTACAGGGTAAGAAGACATAACATCTTAGTACTCAGAAATTGCAACGCATGACTGGTGTTATTGTTTTCTTTGCGTGATAATTTCTTGTGACTATTTGTATCTATAATAAGTGTAAATTTATTATAGATACCAGTTCCTAACTGGTACCTTTAATAAATTTACACCAATATAATAAACCAATAAAGAGTGTCTATATATATGCTTAAAAATATATATAATAGAAAAATGAATAGTTACCTGCTATAGCTCTGCCCAGTAGCAGCGTACTAAATAATATGGACAGCACCCGACTCATTCCTCTCGCCACCATTTTGCTATGGTTGCCGCAACTCGATATCAACTTTTATCAGGGAACATTCTAGCAACTCAGTTGTCTATTTTCAAGTACACATTTTTAACTCTTCACAATGTTGGTCATTTCATTCTTGATCACGATCATTTTATTTATAGCATGTTTCAAAACCGTTACGACATTTTATTGTACTAATGTCGCTACATAATTATCTTAAGCTGGAAATGTAATTTATCAAAATTTATTATTTTTACATTATACTTGCATCGGTAACACAATACAAAATCACTTTTAAAAGGATAATAAATGCAATATAGGCATAAACAATTTTATTAGTTATACAATCAGTTATAGATTAAGAAAGGTCAATTTTATATTTTATCTTATTTTAAATCATTACCCATCCAACATCAAACAAAGGATAAACCATGTGATTACCTAAACAAAAGTGAGTTTATTTATTTTATAGAGATAAATTAAGGTTTCAAGATTTTTTTTTACCATATTTTTTAAGGTTTAGCTAACTTAGTTATGTTAGCGAAATACTTTTATACTATTATTAAATCTATAGATAGTATACCATATTAGTGAACATTGTACACATATATAATATATACATACCTCAAAATGTGTTAAATTGAATACCTACCTTGGGCCAGGAGGGAATAGACGCGGGATATATTTAATAAACAGCTGGTTATTTCGCTGCAAATTATCGCTAAATGAACGATGATTGGTCCACAGAGGCATGAAAGGACCAAGTTGTTGTTCCCTTGAATTAACTCTGGTATAACATAGTTACATAATATTATGTTCTAAGTATGTATAAGTAAATTATTACATACTTAGAACATACCAATAATATATTAAACAAAAATATTAAAATATTGGATTATCTTTTTATGTGACTTTAGAAATATTTTTTTCTTTATTTCATTAACACTATAGGTAGGTTTATAAATAAGAATTAAATTCGATATAAATAAATAAATAAATTAATAAGTATAATTAAAGGCTAGTAGAACATATGTAACAAAACTTTGTTTGTTTTGTGGGTTAATTGCACCCACAGAATTGCTACTTTTGAGAACAGTAAAAAACTTGTTTGAGTCATAAACTTCGGACAGGAGGTTTCCAAATGAGGGTGCCTCAATGTATACATAAAAGTTTTTCGGGTATTGTGAAACAAACGTCGAAATTATTTATATTTGGTCTTAGGGCTGTAAAATGGGGTTGTAAATACAGCTGGGCCCTCTTACTGGGTTACGTTTATAATAAAGATAACTTTGTGAAGTTTTTTGTTCACAATATTACTCTCTTTTTGTTAATTATGTAGGCTATTGTATATACTATCATTATACGAACTTAAACTAAGTTCGTGTAATGATAGTAGTATCGTAATAATCGAAAAATATATACTACCTATAAAAGAAATATTTGATAGTTTTTTTTTTTCAATTAAAAGTATATGAATCTGATAACAAACTGAACGTTTATAGTAAATCATGCTGCACATAGGGAGTTTACATTTTTTATACCATATATTGTAGATACATTACAAAGCATTCTTTGAGTATTTATATTTACCTTATTCTACAGTGGACTGTCCTGGAGGGTATTATTACGTTATTTGTATATAACAAAGAAAACTAATATACATTTTGCTCATAGATTTTATATCATTTGAGTCCTTGGGAAGAATATAAGAAAAAGAACATACCTACCAACTACTTATATAAACTACAATATGAATACGACTCCCACTCAATATCGATGCTCTATCTAACAGAACGATATTTTCCTTGTCGTAAACTACGGTATAATAAAATAATACCGGTTCGTGTAATATAGTATTCCTTTTTCAAGAAAACGTATCTAAAATTGTATTAAGATTACATAAATATGTATATTTATATGTTCAGATTATTATGTTAAGATAAATTAAGAGAATTTAAGTCATCATTATAAATAAATATATGAATCATGATTGGTCATAAAAACAATAGTGACTGTCTGTCTTAAATTTGAATGTGAGTTTGAAGATTTGAAAAATTATCTTTATGGAAAAAAATCATGTGTAAGTGTAAAATCATATGTCTATTAGCAAGGAAAGTAATCCCTTGCAAATCCGATGAATTGCATAATACGTCAGAGGGTAATACGTATTCATAAAAATCCCTAACAAGATCATGAAAACCCAAATGCAGAGGACCCTTGCATGAAAGCATTAGTCGTACCTACATAAATTACTCGCACGATTAGGCGTTTTTTCGCCCATAATTTAAAATGAACGAGCGAAAGAATAATAAATTCGTGTACTTATTTAGGTAAACTACTACTTTAGGTCACTACGAAATTGCAGTTGTTATATATATATATCATATAGCTACTACTACTGTACAATATAGGTAGGGTGGTCATTTATAAAATTGGACAAAAACCTCGCGTGACTAAGCAACAAGGCGTCGCCAAAACGTATTACGCAGCGACACATACGAATATACCAATAGTTAATGGTAGCACCCTATTGACTTGAATGTTCCTTTCATCGTATCGTAGCTTTCGTACAAATACTAAAATTACCTCAATATATATCTACAATAAGAAGAATCATGTTAGCATGTTTTCTTATATAAGGGAGTATGTAGGGACGTGCCTTAGTTCGTTGGGATTAATTAGGAGAAGCAGACTTAATGAATGAGAAAAATTTATTGTTTATTTTACATGTAAACAAATTTTCTCACTTTGTATACTTACTCGTACCTCCGATTAATATATTTTGTATTTATTTCTGTGTAAGGGGAATTTTAATATACTTTGTCCTTATTAATATTGTTCCATGTAATTGAGTGATCGAATAACAAATGTTTAAGATCTTTACAAATTTTTACTTTTATAATATTAGTAGGATTACTGCTATTCATCATGTATTCTCTAGTGAATCAAAACAAGGTGTTATTATTATAAATGAGAAAGAATCCTTAGGATTTCCTAATGTTTATTAGGCAAAGGGAGACAAAGATAACTATCTGGCGAGATCTCCTGCACATTAATGAACAATAGACGGTGACTTGTGGAACAAACCTTACCTGCGTGATGGAATAGGGGTCCAAATTCACACTATAAAGGCCTTTGTCCAGGACGGTTTAATGAATGCCTTGATTAACAATAAAACACAGCACCTAATTATCTACCTATAAGAATTAAATTCTCCTAAAGCTGTATTTATAGTTCGTTATGTGATCGTATTGTTTAGTAAAAAATGTATAGTATGACTACTACGAATAATAGTTTCTGTGAGTTATTTATAACTTCATTCAAGCAACACAACATTTTGTGCTTTTAATATATAGTTCTAGGAACTTAAGTATTTGACCTTCTCCTTCAAGATTGTATTGATGATAATGAAATTAAACCAAAACAAGGGCATTTTAATGACATAAATTAAATAAGTAGATACATTTTTATCAACTAATCAAATCTGAAGATAGTATTATATTATCTGTGTCTGAAGGTTATCTTTACTAGATCACTAGTTTTTATCCGCGATCTTGTCTGCATGACTGAAATATGTTGATTGGCCGGATGTCTTTCTTCGTACTAAATAATACATGTATGTTAACCAAATGCGATAACGACTGGACAAACTCACTTTCGCATTTGTAACATAACTAATTAATTAACTAACAATAATTAGCTTTGTAAACGAAATATATAATATTGAAATTACTAAAAATAAAACAACGGTCTCGTCTATGCAAATCTATATTACAGTTTCTAACAAGAGACTTTCTTAAGATATACATATATAAGAAATCGTAAAATGTATCGTGTATATACTTGTAGGGAAACTCATAACAAAACATAACACGCCGCTGTGTCGTAAGGTAACTAACTACTGGAATTTAGTCAGTTCGAGTTACCGAAAGCTAATAAAACTTTGCCATCGCGCCGCCAAATTCTGCGTAACATAACGAGTAAAACGAATTTCACCATATAATTTGACACTTTGGATTTAAATTATTACCTAGAATTGGCAACTTCTTCATATGTAAAATATTCATTGCCAATAAGCACTTTTCTTTGGATATATATAGGCTTGAATTCTTTACATTAATGGATTTAGATATCTTTACAACATACATATACATCGGAGTTATTTTATATAAGCTATATTCCGTGAACCATATGAACCAGTAAATATATATTGTGTATATGTTCGCCACCACTATTCTCAAACGCTTTCTGGTTTTACTGGTTAGCTGATTGAGAATACTATATGACATCAACTTGTCATTTGTACAAATGTTACTGTACAATAAAAAATAAATAAATTTAATATACTGTGTACCATATGCAAAAACTGCTATATATATATATGATTTGAATGAATTCGATCTATTCAGTAATTTTTGCGTGAAAATATAACAAACATCCATTCGTCCATTCATTCTTACTACCTTTTACATTTATAATATTACTCGTAATTGTATAATTTATGTATATTATGGTCTTCATTTTATGTTAGTTATGTAAATATTTTATTTACTGTGTATAGATATACATTATTAACTATTATTTTCTGTACCTATCCCAATAATGAAGCGCCGCGTTCGTGATTCACTGTTTATTCCAAAGGTTGACTGGTAGAAAATGCTACTCGGATTAAGTCCGCCTTTTGTGCAATATTTTCTTTTGGTCAAAAAAATTATTTAAATAATATATTTATTTAATTTTAATTAATAGTTTAATTTAATAAAATAATGTAATAGATATATCCATACAGAATAGATGTATCAAATACCAATAAAATTGCCTATAAAGTTAAATAACACTATTATTCTGTGGTTATGCATGTAGTATAACCACAGAATAATAAGACAAAGACTAAAATAAAAAAAAAAATAATAAAGCAGTTTTGTGTGCCTGTATTTTTTGTGATTTATGTTTTGTAATAGCCGTGTTGCATAAAGATCTCTAGTCTTGTTGGGAATAAAAAAGTAATGAAATGTTTTTATTTTTTTATATTTCCATAAGAATACACCGGGTACTATTAAAATGGCAAACAAGCTAACGACCATTTGATGGAGTGTAGTAACCATTGCCCATAGATATAATTTAAACAATTCTATAGAAGTGGAAGGAGAGGAATTGTTAGTAATGTTGTACAAGTTGGATACGGTCCTCATTGCTAGTGATATACCCTCATGATCAGATG